TTGACTCCTCCTATAAAAAACTCAGAAACAATTTCGCAAACCTATCTAGTTTTTTCTTTGAAAAGATGAAGCCGATTTTTGCACTTCATTGAAATCGCCATTAAACGAGCTTTAAAAGTACATACCTTTCTTTCTTCCATCGTGCTTTGTCATAGAGAAAGTTCATATTTTCAAGATCAGAGGAGCAAAAATCGAAATTCTGCCAGTATTCTCAATTTTAATCATCGGGAATCAAGTTTTATGCAATAAAAATATCATATTCGGAACCAGCGTCCCAAACTACGTCGAATGATGTACTTTGTTAGTCTATCTGACTAGTTTGATTTCTGTCAAATTTTTACGTCGAAAAATTCCTGAGATTTTCACCAAAAAATAAAAATAAAGAAAAAGTTTCGAAATATATATATATGACCAAAAATCAAATACGGTTAGATGCGCAATAAAATTCTCTATCGAACCTGCTATTCAGCTTTTTGATACTTTCAAATTTTTAAATCCGGCAGGGTCCTTACGTACTTCTTTCATTATAGTCGTCAGAGAATTTCTTTCTTACTTTCGTTTCTAAACTCTTTTGACCTATAGTACACAATATGACAGAAAGATATATCAATCTTCGTCGAGCACCAACAACTCAATGGTACATAGCTAACGCTTTCTATTCTTTAGGTCTCAAGTTCGAATCCATCAGTCGCCGTCGTTTTCTAAGTGATAATTGTTCTGTGACTTCTAAGGAGAAGGATAGAGATATCTTGAAGGGAATGAACTATACAGTCAACCATATCGATAATAATACATAACATTCTTTTGTTTTTTTTGGGAAATTTTGATAAACGCGTTTAAACGCTTCAAATGTTTCATTTCTAGACCGTTTTTAAGCGCTTGATAAATAAAACACGTTTGAATGCTGTAAGTGTTCCATTTTTAAGCTGTTCAAACGCGTTTTTTAGCTTGGAATTTGTTACGTGCATAGTATCGAAAGTACGCTAAAAATAGAAACGAAACGTTCTCTAGCATGGTCTAATAAAACTACTATTTATTTAACATTCAGAGTTGCATTTGTAACTTTTCGATGTTCTGAAATATTCGAGGAAGATTCACGTTTTTGTTTAATACAAAAAAAGTTGTTTTTTTCACATACATATAAAGTGCCGCTAATTCAAAGTTGGAGCACTTTTTATTTTTAGCTTTACGGCACATGTGTTGATTCAGTTTTAGTTGCTGATCACGAATATGCCCTTATTTTCTGAATTTGATAGAGTTTTCAAGAAGAAGACCGCAAAATACTGAGAGGGTGTCAAAATCCGCAAAAGGCTTCCTTAAGAAAAAATAGACCTTAGCTCTTTGCTATTCAAGTTTTCGCTCTTATCATGATGGTTATCATGATTCTGTAAACTATCAAAGACAGCCATTCAAATACGCATTTTATTTAAAAAAATATATGAAAAACAAATAAGCAATTGCGGAGAACACAGTTACAATCGAGATTAGTTTGTCTCAACCATGTCGTTATTATCACTAGCACTCTTCTCAGTTTTAGATGCACTAGCACTCTTCTCAATTTTAACTGCACTAGCGCTCTTCTCAATTTTAGATGCATCAGCACTCTTCTCAATTTTAACTGCACTAGCGCTCTTCTCAATTTTAGATGCACTAGCAGCCTTCTCAGTTCTAGATACACTAGCACGCTTTTTAATTTGAGATGCAGCAGCAATTCGACCACCTGTTCCAATATTCGGTAATACTACTCTTCTACCACGGCCTGTCGAAGGACGAGCATCACGTTTAGTAAATAATCTTCTGAATCGTTGCATCATAGTTTGTTGCTGCCGTTGCTGTTGTTGTTGTGGATTGTAATACCTTGGTCCATAAGCCGTCTTAGCGCCTGGTACTTTTTGATTTGTATATAGTGTTTGTATATTGCCTCTTGGCTTACGTAAAGCATTCTTTGATTGAATATGTCGTTGTAACATTTTGGTTTTTGTTTGCTTGCTTTTGCACACTCTTTAATAAACCAACAAATAATCATGACCAAACACTACTTGGTTGATAAATACCTATGTAGAATGCAGGCGCCACGCTCTAATGACAATTTTTTTGCGATTCTACAGTGTGATACGAGTGAACGATTATCAGATGGAGAGAATACCTCATGCTTTTGTGTGTTACTGACCGCGACTCAATAAAACATATTAGAAAAAGTATTCTTATTAAAGTCGGCACGGCAACACTTAGCGTCAAAAATACTAATGTACAACCCGTAACTAGCAAGAGGAGATTCACTGTACAAATCTCACCTAACTGTCCATTTTATGTGTTCCCTTGTGCCCTGCGAATATTGTAACCTTTACTTTTCTATTTTGCTCTTTTCTTTCTGTTTGTTTTTATAGAAATAAGGAGAACGCTTGGATATTGCAAAAAGCTCATGCCGATCGAAAGGCAAATATCTCACCTTAAAAGGTTTCAAAAAGGAAAAGATATACACACACGTTTTGTTAACAAGTGACGACGGATAGTTTCCAACAACGTCGCATTCGATAGAGGATATTACACTTAGGCATGCAACGGTAACGGTTTACCGGTGAAACAGAACCTGGTTAGAAAAGCTTTCCATAAGTTCGATTAAGTTCTTCTGAGTGGTCTTGTGACAAAAGCACAGAATACCTACGGTTACCGGTACAGAACTTTCTCTAACTGTCTTTTATCAGCTCATTTTTGTAACGGTTTACCGTTGTTCACCGTTACCGTTGCATGCCTAATTACACTGCATCGAACGATATATTTGCTGATAAAAATGTCTTCTAAGGAATTTTAAACATTTTGAACACAAACGTTTTGTAGTTTTCATACCTTGAAATTGTAAAGCGAAGAGCTCTATAAAGAAAATCGAAGATAGTTCTCGACTCCCGCTCAAAAACATTCGTTTTCATACTATCAGTCTAATCAAGCTATCAGGCTAATTTAGATTTTATTAAGTTTTATGAAACGTTCTACTAGTTAATCATCAAATCTATTAGTTTGTTTAACGTAAAATATAACTACTTTTAAAACAATAGTAAGTGAATCATCATCTAGATTCAGCTCATCCAGCAATAGTGTGTCGACTGTAATCGTGGTTAGAGAATGTAGTCCGTGTTCCAAATGTTGTCTCTCATTGTGATAGCGACTGCACTGCAGAAAGTAAGGCTCAAAATCCTCCTTTCCATTCCCGCATTTACTCTTAGGTGAGTCTACGCACTTCCGTTTGTGCAGATAAAAGTTTAAAGCCGGAAAATCACACTTTAATCTCATTAAAAAGATTTCATCTCGTCTATAGACGAGATGCTATAGCAAGAAATTTTAGTCGCTTTGGAAATAACTTGGATGTTAATAACTCAGTGCGCATTTTTGAAATCTTCATTGTTAAAAATTTTGAATCTTTCTGTATCAGATTATTCCATTCTTTATTTACTATAGTAAAAAGATCGTCATCAGTACTATCTATCGGATCGATTGTAGATTTTTTATTACTACATAAAGTATAAGAGTAGTAGTCCTTTTTTTAATCGAGATTTATTTTAATGAAACCTACTCCCAAGCTGGATATTTAGAGAAAGTGACAGTTCTCTCAACTGATTTCTCATCGAGTATGATGGAACTAGCTGAACGTCACTTCGCTTCACGCAATTGGACGTCATCACAGTTTTCTGCTCGTACTCTCGATGCTACGAATCTGGTTGCCGTCCCATCTGACTATTATACGCACGCGTTTTGTACTTTTGGCATCATGATGATACCCGACGCATCAAAGGTTGTTAACGAGATGTTTCGTGTTCTTGAACCGTCTGGAAAGATCGGTATAACGACATGGCACAAAGTCAGCTAGATGCCTCTTTTTTCAGAGTGTATCGCACGAGCAAAGATGTCTTCGAACAAGGAAGAGAAGGCTACTCCATCTGTATCGATGAGATCCGACTGGTCCACAGAATTGTACGTTCAAAAGGCGCTCGAAGATGCTGGCTTCCGAAAGGTCCGAGTGAGCATCTTCGAAACTCCTTGGTCGTTTGCTAATCAAGATGAGTGCGTGAAACAAATTACACAAAGTCGGTGGATTAATCCGATAATCATGGGTGCCAATCAGATAGATGAATAGCGACACAAATGTAATCAGGTAGCACAGTTGAAGTAGCGACAATTGTTCCAATAGTTATATTTACTAATCCACCCTAAAAAGTCTTAATAAGATGTTTGTATGAACTCGTCAACTTTTTTTGTTATTATTCTTTTTCTCTCCCGACCAGGAAATGGTTTGACAGTTTCGTACATTTTGCACTTTTTGATAATGGATTGAATCGTTGTCCGTGATATACTCATACATTTTGCCAATCCGTCTAAGGAATCTCTTCCAAATACCGATTGAGCATCAAGTTGTTAAAGTCTTCCGAATATTCTCTTTGTTTTCGGGTGTTATTGGTTGTCTCTTGTGCGAAGTGGATAACTGTTTGAAACCCAAGATGATATCAAAGTATTTTTCCTTCCGAGACCGTATATAACCGTCTAAAAATTCATACAGATTACTTGAGAATAGACCAATGAAGAAAGCGATGAATGCTTAGGAAGAAGCGCACTGTCCAAAGTAAAAGAATACATGCATATGTCATGCATCAAAGAAAGAGGAAAGAATGACGTTGTATACATCGTTGTACACAATGACATAAATGTAGGTTTGAATATTTTCAAACGGCAAAATTAAAATTAAAATTCACGATTTTACTTTCGTTAATTTAACTCGTTGCAAAAGAATAAACTCGTAAGTTTTTAAAAAATTGTTGAATAGGCAGATCACTTAGTAAGCTAATATCCATCACCTTATCCTGTGCTTCATCATTATTTCGTTGTCTCATTCATACGGTTGAACAGATTAGTCCTATACAAATACATAATGCACTGTCATCGTTATCTTCTCTTTCTTTTTCTTCGTTCTATGTGAAGGTGAAAAAAAAATTCATTTTCATGATCACATTCTCTTTCTCTCATCTATCTGTTACATTAAGACATTATTACAATAGTATATAATCGAATATAAATAGGTGTAGTAGCAGGACAATAGACATTACTGAGTGCATGCGAGTAAAAAGAAGGACGTCAGTACAGTTTAATAAGATATAGACTCAGTTCTACTGACTACACATGAGTTTATTCACAGTTTACAAATTTTTTATAGTAAGTACAAACTTCAGAAATGTTGTAAAGAGAAGAGTGGAGATCACAGCGGTACACTCTCAGTCGAAGTTATAGTTCACAAGCACTGTAAACTCTTTTAATGTTACATTTTAGACCATTGTTATTCTTACCTAATCTCAATCAAAAGAAAAAATATCGAATCAAGAATATAGATTGAAAGACAGCTCAGGTTTCGATGCACTGATACTCCACAAGTCATCCCTCGAGTATTACGTAGACATCTACGTCGATAGGCATATAAATCTTTCATAATACATCTCCTTTCGTCATCTGTTGTTATACAATCGGTAATAAGCTTCATAATCCCTTCACCTTAATATTCTCTTTGCAAACTGCGCCTCGCTCTCTTTGCTTGATGATCTCTTTCTCGTCCTATCTTTCTTATAGTTTCATCTCTCGTATAAAGACTCGTATAGTATGTATAGTAGATACAGTTGGAGGTAGAGCATAGCCGAATAAACATCGTTCCGTAAGGCGCAGGCTTATATACCTCCCAAATTGTCAAGATGGTGGGACGTATGAAGTGGCCATAATAAACGTAAATGAAGTTAGCCCCATATGCAAGTAAAACCTGTCCGTATTCGTCTAGGAACTAGTTCCAAATGTTCCATGTTTGTTCCAAGTACAACTCCATGAGCTCTATCTAACGGTATACTTAGATTTTCGACAGCTCAAAGTATGACTTTTGGGCTAATAGATGGCGGTAGAGAAACTCTGGAAATTATACTTTGTGCTATCGAAAATCTGAGTGTACCGTTGGATAAAGCTCATCGAGTTGTACTTAGAATAAGCGTGGAACATTTGGAACACGTTTCTTGACGAACATGGGCATCTTTTACTCGAATATGGTGCCAGAATTTCACTACGAAAATACAGTATTTTGAGATTTTCTGGATCATATTTTGGGCGTGTTACAGTTTGCTGCAGCAAACTGTAACACACAAACACAGTCTGTGTACACATAACAGACAGAACTAAACAAATTTCATGGCAGCATTATGAGCGTAACGGGTTGGGCAGAAAAAATGAAGCCACTTTGCAATTCATCCTTTAGATAATCATATCAACTCCAAAGCTTCGTTCTGAGCCTAAAAGACGCAGAATGTTCTTTATTTTTTAGTGCTGTGTTTAGGTTAAGATGTACCGTAATCATCTTTTCGCTGTACTCAAACGATCGAAAGTCTCAAAAATCTCAACTGCTCACCACTTCACTAGAAAAAAATGCTTTATATCTTCATACAAGTTTTGCTCGCGCGATTCAAACACGGTACTACAAACTACAATAATTTCTTAATTGTTGAAGCACAACGATATTTTTCGATTCAATTTTTCGACCGAACTCCCGTACTAGAGCCAACTAAGATTAGTTGCTTTTCAGCTGCTTTAGAATCAAGAATAGATATCATATTGTTATACCACGAGCCAATAGATAGCGAATTTCGAAGAGAAAAATCATAATTGAACGTCAGAAAATCAATATGACGCTGTTCACAGAAATTTTTAACATATGAAGATTTTGTGGAAGCAACAACTGATTGAAATCCAGAAATAAAAACAACGTTTGTCATTCTAAAAAATAAGATTCATCAATGCAGATTTATAACAATAGAGACTTCAAGATTATTTATTAACAACAAAAAATTAATCTTTTTACGTTTATTTCACTTCGATATTCAATCTGAAATAATAACAATCATTCCAGAACTTCAAATCGCCCATATCGCTGTTGGACATACTCAAGATTATTGCC